AGGATGTCCGCCTGCCCCGCCTTTCCCTCCGCGTCGCATCGCACTGCGTCCTTTGTCTGGCGCTGCCCGCCGCGGTGGTGCCATACCGCGCCTCGTCGTCTTGCCGCAGTGGCCGTGCGGACAGCCGTCTAGGGCACGTCCCGCCTGTCCCGCTGTCACCCGTAGTGGTGTGTTGGCTCGTTGCGTTGACGCCGCAGACGGACCAAGCCAAGCCATGACAGGACCCCCCTTGCCTCCGCTGTCTCCATGGCCGCCGAGACGCTTCTTTCAAATTCACCGAGGTAGCAGCGTCTTGATTCAAATTGACCGCGTGTTCGACTCCGCCAGATAGCCTACAGCCCTACCGACCCCACATCGCCGCCTGTAGCTCAGTCATGTGCTCCAATTTTGAATCGTCCGGGTCCATAAGACCATGGTGTCCTATGCCGTTGGATAGCCACGCAACCGAAGCATCCCATCCCAATTCCTTGCTCGCCTAGCCCCTCCTCTAGCTGGTCATCACCGTGCTCGCCATAGCCTAGGCTCTACCGCCGTAGAGCAGCCCCTGGCACAGCCGTGCCATTGCCGTGCGCGCCGCACCACATCGCATGCACGTGGCCGGCTCGGCCTGAGCCATCTCCGGTCGAGTCATCGCAGTCTTTCGGTTCCATGGTGAGTCTCTGGTGCCCATTTGCTACTCGTTTTGCCCCGGCCATGCTGACGTTCACCGGAACGGCGTCGCCGTGTGTGCAGGGTGCCCGTCGTCGTGGTCCGAGCCCGCTGCTCTGCGTCCCGGTGCACGTTTCCTCCGCCTTTCACTTCGCGTTCGCGTCTAGGTATGATTCGGCTCGTTGGTTTGGGAGGGGGAGGCCTGAAGTGGCCGGCGGGGTCGCCGGTGCCAGTCCCGCCACGCGCCGGTGCGCGCGGGTGACCGCGGGGGTATCGTCGGGGGGAAAGACAAGTAGTTCGGAGGGCGTATCTGTAAAACTATAGACTAGTGAAATAGTACCGTAGAGCTTGTAGCAAATACCGAATAGTTCGGGGACGTCCGTGCACTTTGACATCGCGCGCGGGCCTCTCCCGTCGCGGGTTGCTGGCCGGCTGGGCCGCGTTGCGTTGGCGCGCGCATCGCGCTAGGGCGGGCCAGACTGCGCGAGTTGGGCCAAAGTGGAGATTCGGTTTCCTCAATTCCAGTAAATTAGAATTGTTTATTTATTTTGGTTATGAACTGAACTTCGATAATTCGTAGTAAATTGCGTAGTTGTCCAGAAATAGTGAAACTAATTTTGTTAGGTTCGCAAAAATACCATCTATCTGTTAGTGTAGTTAGTTCATAGTTAGTTGTTATGATCATGGGTTCATAAATTCTAATTAGACAGTTTAGTATTTGTTAGATTGGTATTTGTAGGAATTCTTGTGGCAAATCAGTAATAGTGTTAGCTTTAAAATTTTTACAGTAGGTTCCCGAGGATGTTACGTGCTCGCTGTAATTTTTAGCATTAGAGGTGTTGTTGAAATAAAGTAGCTATTACCCTTGTTCATTGGAATATAGCGTAAATCGGCGTTAGGAGTAAAAATACCGATAGTTGCTGGAATAACGATGAATGCTTTACTTGCTACTTGTTGTCGATAGCAATAGATGATTTAGCACCGTGGTCGATAGCCCTAGCTTAGTAGTAAATCGATGTACTCCTATTTTAAGAGCTGCTGTTGTTATATTATTAAACATTGCATCATCATTTCATGTAGATCACGAACTGGTAGACTTCGTGCCCGTCGGCGAGCCAGAGTACGACGAGGTGCTCGAGGAATACGAGGAGGAGATCTTCGCACAAGAGGAAGCCCAGGAGCCTGTTGGTACTGACCTTGCTGACCCGGCACCTGCCCAAGGCAAGCCCCGGTGCATAACCCATATTTTATGATCACTGAATATATATATGTGATGTGCATTTAAGTTACAGGTATTTTATGGAAACTACATGCATAAATATATCTACCCATGAGTCCTACTAGTACAGGTCGAGTAGCTGCTATGCTCAGGATATCGGTAGCATGAGTAACCTGTCATTACTCGCAAATAGGTGATAAAATATGAACACTCATGATAAAATGATGGAAAGGTAAATGGTGACCGGGCAGGGATATGGTTTGGGTATTGGTGGGTGTAAAGGGTTGTGTCCTGCGCCCTGTGGCATAGCATAGCTTTATATTTTTCCCTATGCGTGTCGATTAAGGACCGGTCGTTGCATAAGGCATCATGGGCAAGTCACAGATTTATTGTCCCGAGCACATACTTGGGTATGGACGCAGGGAAGACTTGTTGCTCTCTTGTCGCGGATCCGGCTCTTTTCGGACCGACTGATGGGAAGAGGAGGTGGTGGAGGTCCTTGCACCACACTAAGTCCAAGACTCAGGATGTGGGGGCTTGGAGTCCAAGTTTGGACGGGGACCTGGACACCCAGGACAGGAGGGTGATGGGTTAGTCCTGCTTGTGCCTGGGGTACAAGCGGGGCGTGTGTTTTCGGGGCACCCAGCTGGGCATATTGATTCGCGAATCGCCGAGAAATTCGGTACGACTTGTCTCGTGTTTAGCACCATAGTAAGAACTGAAAAGTTGAAAGGAGAAGAAATGGAACTGATTGCTCAACTTTTGCTTGAAAGTAGAACAGATGCTTATATAGACTGGCTAGATGACAACTTAATACGGCTGATAATAATAATACATAAATAAGGACTCACTGTTAGTATTGCTTTCTGCCAAAAGAAACCAGCAAGCCATAAAGCTTATCATATTTCCTGGAGTCGGGAAAATTATTCCCACTAGTCGGATAAGTCTTGTGAGTACATTGTGTACTCAGGGTTTATTTACCCCTGTTGCAGGTGATGCTTAAAGAGTACCTTGTGTGGAGGATCCTTCTGGTGGGCTCAGACGGATTCCTCGCCCCCTTACCGCTAGATGTTATTTATAAATTTCGTTGTTTATCATTCCGCACTCTGATATTTGGTATTGTAATAATGTACTTTTTGAGAAACTCATATGTATGAAATGGACTTGTATTGTAACTCGTTCTCATTATTGGATCCTTAGGAAAAATGTGGATATTTCGCGTTCTCTCTCGGGGTGTGCCCGACGGACACCGCTCGTTGTAGCTTGCTTTCGGGGTGCTTAGTCTCTGGTGGAAGACGGATGCCTCCGTAAGTATGCTATTTCGGACGGTTCTGCCACACTGCGTACTTTACAAATTACAAGTATGGTGGCGGCGATGAGTCCGTGTAGGTCTTGAATGCTTTCACGGCGAAGCCTAGAACGCCGGCGATAGTGAGTAGTGGGCCGGCCGTAATCGCGAAACGTAGGCACCGCTGTCCGTGCTGGCTTCTTTTCCAGGAACGAAATGGGCAGAATCACAGCCAGGACGAGATCGCCAGATCGCGCCTCGCGAGTTCATGAGGTAGACCATAGATGAAGCGAGAGCGGCGCGGCGGCTGCTGTTGGGGATTGGGATCGTGACTTCGCAACGCACCCAGCGGACTTAGCGGGAGGCAGGCAAAGCATTGTGTGTTTTTTCTTTTTCTTTTTACATTATATACACAGATGTATTATCCGTGTTGGCTGGACCGCAGAGTATGCCGGTGCATACCCGGCATACCCTGTAGATCCGCCACTGGCAGTATTCCTAGGGATGAAAACGGTACGGAAATATTCCGAACCGAACGACATCGTTTTGAACCGATCGATTTCGTATTTTCGGACAAATTCGAATTCGGTTCGAAATTCGGACTATCAAATTCGAAAACAGAACGAAAACGGTTTAACTTTTTTCCGACCGTTTTCTACTTTTCTACGTTTAATTCGGAGTGTACTGTTTTCTAAATTCGGTTTAAACCAAATTTGGTCCACTACATAAAGACGCAAGACAAAGACCATAAAGCCCACTCTACCAGCAAAGCCCAATGACAACCCTAATCTCTCAAGAAGACTACACTCCTCCGACTCCTCCTTGGACCCTATCCCTTCCTGGCTCCCTGCCGGCGCCCCTAATCCCTCCGTATCCCCTGTCCACGCCGCGCGGCGCGAGTGGCGACGGGCGACACGACCGCGAGTCCGCGACGGCCGCGCCTCCACCCGACCCCGCCGGCCGCCCGCGTCCCCAGCCCACTCCCTAGTCCCCAACCCGCCAGCGCCACCGGCCGCCACCTAGCCACGAGGCAGCGCCGCCACCCCGGCCATCGATGGCACCCACTGGAGCTAGAGAAGGGGGTTCTGCTCCTGGAATGAAGATCAAGGGCAAGTCCAAGACCAAGAGCGAGCGCCGCCTTCTAGCGCCGTCGGCAGCATCGGCAACGGCATCGGCACCGGCAGCAACGGCTTCTCCAGCAGCAGGTACTAATTTGGGACCAATTCCTTGATTATTGCTTTTGCTATTGATGAAGCTTGTGTGCGGATCATGCACTTGGTAATTGTTATATGCGCTTGAACTTGATCATGCACTTGGTAATTGTTATGTGCTTGGATCATGCACTTGTTAATTGTTATGGACTCTACGGGTCGGTATTCCGTATTGAATTTTCGTATACCGACTGTTTTCGATATAATTCTGCTCGAATTGGTTCGTTTTCGATATTCCGTAAGTTCGTGTTCGTTTTCGTGTCCGGCTTTACCGTTTTCGTTTTCGTTTTCATATTCAAATGTAAATGTAGAAAATGGTTGAGGGGTTTTTCGACCGTTTTCATCCCTAAGTATTGCAGAGTTACTGACGTTGATTCATGCTTTAAGACGCACTCATCATATAGTCATATGTGCAAATGCCACCAATCATCGCCGATCCAACCATTCGATGAATCCTACTGCTACTAGCTGCGACTAATCATCTCTCCTAATCCTAATAATAATAATAAAGCAGATCATGTCGATGCGACAGTACATAAACGGAAAAGCTAAAACACACTCGGGTCTAAATAAATTTTCTTTAAAAATGCCAATGCGTCCTTAATCCATGCAGCGTACGTAGTTCGTTGTTCGTCTACGAGGAAGATGCCGCCGTGAAATCGACGTGGTACACCTCGGTCATGTCGGGCTGGAACAGGCCGAAGTGCTGCTCCACGCCCTCGGGCTTCTGGTTCTCGTTGAACATGGCGAAGACGAAGGCCTCCACGGCCTTCCCGGGCCGCCGCGGCGTGCCGCGCCCGCTCCCGACGTGGCGCACCACGTTGTTCACGTACGCCGCCGCGTTCCCCACGCTGGCGCCCGCGCCGCCGCCGCCCGACGGCCACCCGGTCTCCGACACCACCACGTCCAGGCCCGCCGGCGCGCCGGCCTCTCCAGCGCCGCGTACACGGCGTCCACGATGGCGTCGAACATGTTGCCGTACGACGCCCCGCCGTCCGTCACGGCCGCCGACGCGGACTGCAGCAGCGCGTAGTCGAGCGGCACCGACGACGGGTCGGCCGAGTAGGCGAAGTAAGGGTACACGTTGACGAGCAGTGGCGTGGACCTGGACGCCAGGAACGACGCGATGGGCGCCATCGACGGCAGCGCCGCCTCCGAGAAGGCGCCCTGCGACGGCGGGTACGAGGACCCCAGCACGGACGTCGACACGGCCGTGGTGACCCGCACGCCGCCGTCTCCGCCGAGCCCCGCGGCGCGGAGCGCGGACTCGAGGTTTTGCATGGCCGGGAGGACGTAGGAGGCGAGGTCCCCCGGGATGACCTCGTTGCCCGCGGCCACGTAGCGGAAGCGGACGGCGCCGGCGAAGGGCTGCACGTAGGCCTGCACCCACGACGCGGCGAACGAGGGGTCGGAGGCCAGGCGGGCGAGGTCCTCGTTCAGGGTGCCGAGGACGACGCCCAGGCCCGAGCCTTGGAGCGCCGCGAGGACGTTGGTGTCCGGATGGAACAGCCGGACGTCGGTGATGCTTTTGGCCTTGCACAGCGCGATCACCTTGTCAGGGGACGGCAGGTTGTTGGCGATCATGCCATAGTTCACGCCGATGCCTTCGACTCCTGCACGAGACAACTCCTGAACAGTAAGTAGAGAACGACTGATCAAAGCATGCATGGATTAACCTTCGAGCTGTTAAAAAACCAACAAAAAGACAATGCAATTCATGGACGGAGTATGTTATCACTAGTTAATCTCGTTGAATCTAACCTTTCTTTCTCCCACCATGGTACAATACAACTCCTACCAGTTTGTTGGTAGATTTCTTGCAAATTGTGTACTAGGTTGGGGAAAATTAAAACTCCTTTCAATTCCTTGACTTGCTCTGAGGAGGAATAGCTTTGAAATTGGAAGTGCACAGGCTGAAATAGAAATTGTACTTTTGGATCGCTACTTTGTGGCTATCACCAATTAAGGCGTGCATTGTAGTACTACTGATCTTCATGAAGGGCTATATATACTCTGGCCCTGTCGACTTACCCATATTTGGCTTGTTCGGTTTCTTTTTTCAGTCGGAACAGTGTTTTTCTCTCACAACAATTCAACCGGAACAGTGTTTTTCAGCCAGTTTCAGCCAAGTTTCAGACCAGCGAACAAGGCCATGTTGATGTTTCACTATCATAATTGAACACATAACTTCAGATTGACAGGCGAACGAACATGGCAACAAGAACCCGTACATAAATTAAATTAAACCAACCATGGCTAGCTGATCCATGGAGGAAGGAGACCATCTGTCAAGAGGGTTAGACGAGAGAGCCCGACCATGCATTAACGTGAAGTCATGAAGAACAGAACAGTGACAGCAACACTCCAGCAGCAGCTTATAACAAATAAAATAAAGGATGTTGTTTACTGCGTAAGGGCCTGTTCAGTTAGCTCATTCCAGGCAAGGAACCATTCCAGGTTTACTTGCTTAGTATCACTCCGATCTAAATTATAAGTCGCTTTTATTTTTTTGTTTCATCTATTTTGTTATGTATCTAGACATATTATTATAATATCTAGATACATAACAAAATGGATGTACCAAACAAATTAAAGTGACTTATAATTTAGAACGGATGAAGTACAAATTAAGCTAGTTGTTCCAGCTGGATTTTTTTTCCGGAGAGTGATTCCCTGCTAACCAAAAGGCCCTAGATGATTTCTCGACGGGGATACCAAAACAGAGGTACACAGGTAAGAGCAACAGAGCCAGAACAGGCTGTAATGGCTAACAATCCACGCTAAAAGGTTATCCAAGAGCTCTCGTGAAACGGAAAGGTACAGGTGAAAGTAGACACTAATCTTTAATGCCTCGGCAGAACTCCTGCCGCTTCTGTTCAGAAAGAAAAGATAATATCAGAAACCACGCAAACAGTATCTGACATTTGCAAGAATCAATTACTCGCCGAAAGAAAAAAAAAATCAGCCTATGTAACGTTGGGTCTGTGCTCATGTTCCTACCAAGAAGCAATGCATGTACTACTAACTACGGCACCGTATACTGAAGACAGCTGATATCGCAACACCTTAGAATAGATGTACATATAGTAAGAACGAAATTAACCTCATAATAATTAAATTATTATGTGAACGAAAGTAAGCCAAATTCACCAGCTAGCAGCAGCCAAGCGATGCGCTCATCACCTGAGAAGGACAACGAGAGTAGCAAGCTGCAGGCGGTGATCCACAGAGCGGCGGCGGCCATCCTCATCGCGGTTCCTGGTCAGGCTTGGAGCAGCACAGGCAGTTTCTTTCTTTCTGCAAAAATCTCTCGCTTCCTTCTGAGGCTTTGTCCCCCAAGCTCCACCTGCGGCACGCACGGCTCGCTATATATAAGGTCGGGCCGTGCAACCACCCATTGGCCACGACTCAATAGGCCCGTGCGTGCCCGTGTGTCAAGGGTCAAGACTCAGGCGGGCACCGAGACGCACGGCCACGTGAGTCGCGATGCGGTTGATGCGATGACGCCTGATGGAAACTGCACGTCCGCCGTCGGGACTTTCCCTGCCTGGTCTCCCTCCAGATTCAGCAGGTTCGGTGCTTCGACGGAAACCTTACTTCTCCATTATGGTCAACAACAACAATCATTTGGGATGCAATCTGCTGAAAGGAAAAATTTCCCGCTTCTTTCGTGCGTGTGCCTTATTTGGACCATATAAGGATTTATATTAACGTGAAACTTACGAACATCTTGAATTTTGGAGAAACTTTAAAAGGAGGTCTGCTATGGTTACAGCACTCAACACATCGACTCGAGCCACTTTGACACGCAGATCGCTGAATGGTCCGATTTTGCCAACTAAACTGTGAATGTCAGTGCAAATTTTACACAAAAACAGTGTCTTCCAGAAGAAAAATGAAAACAATAGAGGGAACTTCCTGGGCGTTTTGCCATTTTCATAACACGTTTGATCAAGAAGAAAAAGCACTTCTGTTGGCAAACCAACGACCCAAATTTCAAAAAAGAAAAAAATGGCCCACAAAGATGGGCCGATGCTCTTTCATTTTGCCTCACGAAAACTGTTGCGAAAATCAAATTTATTACCTTCTTTAATTAAAAAAACAGGTTTTTTTAAAAAAACTCGATCCGCGGTGGCTAGACAGCCCTGGATATTCTGGTTTAAAAAGAAGAACTTCTCACGCAAATCGAGAAAACCCCCACGTAGATCGAGAAAACCCCTCGAACCCTTGCCCCACTCATACACAACGGCACCGCAACTCCGTAAGATGAGCTGGCCTCAGACCTGTGCTTTGGACGTGGGGTAGATGAGGGTGTTTTTTACCTCGCTCGGAGAAAATCTCCGAAAACAACGCGCGGGTGCACCACACCTGGGGTTCGAACCCGCACCGCAAGGGTGCTACTAGACTTCCCAACTTTCAAATTGGGGACAACAACATGTGCAACTTTACGAAGCAAAGTGGCACCGCGGAGTTGCTTCGTAGGGCATCTTTGATTATTTGGGACGAAGTTGCCATGACCAAGCGTAAGTGCGTCGAGACACTTGATAGGTCCCTACAGGATGTTATGGAATGTGCTTTACCATTTGAAGTAAAGATCATGGTATTTGGTGGAGACTTCAGCCAGGTCCTTCCTGTGGTCCCACGTGGGATAAAGAGCACAGGTAACTGATGCTACAGTGCAAAGATCTTATTTGTGGGAGAAAATAAGGAAAATAAGATTGTCACGTAACATGAGGGCACAGTCTGACCCTTGGTTTTCAGAGTATCTGCTACGAATTGGAAATGGAACTGAGAAAACAATTGGAGATGACTATGTTCAACTCCCTGATGACATTGTCATTGTCTATACTGACACGGAGGTGGCAATCAACAAACTCATTCAAGATGTTTTTCCATCACTCGAAGAACATGCAACATCAGCCGCATATACGAGCTCTCGTGCCATTCTATCGACAAAAAATGAATATGTTGATAGGCTGAACGCAATGATGATCGATAAGTTTCCAGGTGAGGAAAAGGTTTACCACAGCTTCAACACTATTGTTGACGATCCTCAGAATCACTTCCCAATTGATTTTTTGAACTCGATAACTCCAAATGGCCTCCCCCGCACGAGCTAAAGCTAAAAAACAAATGTCCTATGATTCTTCTTCACAATCTTGATCCTAACAACGGATTGTGCAATGGGACAAGGCTTATGGTCAGAGCATTGCAAGACAATACAATTGATGCCGAGATCGTTGGTGGACAGCATGCACGAAAAAGGTTTTCATACAAGGCTCCCATTGTCTCCCTCGGATGATATTTCTCTTCCTTTCAAGTTCAAGAGAAAACAATTCCCACTGTGGTTAAGTTTTGCCATGACATAAGTAAATCGCAGGGACAAACCATCCCTAACGTTGAGATCTACCTTTCAGAACCCGTGTTCTCACATGGACAACTTTATGTTGGTTTATCAAGGGGGTATCAAGATCAACAACAAGAATTTTGGCTAAACAAAAGAAGAATTGGATCCTACAGGGAAGAGCACCAAGAATATTGTTTATAAAGACGTCCTGATCTGGTAATTAACGAGTGGGTATGATTTTCCGGCCAGATGGTGTAGTCCCTACTGGGAGGACAGTGTTGATGTACTGAGCATAAATATGACATTCACATGGTGGGGGTGAAGGTGCCAGCGAGATGATTTATATTTGGGTGATTTGGAGATGAGCAGCATGCATAAAGAGTTATTCTCTTCACTCTGTAGCTTCAAATGATTTTTCTTGTGCCAGGTTCCCAGATAGATTCTGCAAAGGCTTTTGCTTCACTTGTAAACCTTGCCCTAATTCCTCAAGTGCTCATATACCTCCAGACCTCCAAGTCCTACTTAATGACTTAGGCAGATTGTAAAATACATGGTTCAGGTGAGACATAACTTTATTATGCCTTGTTATTTACCAGTTGCATGAAACATGTTGCCCTCAAATAAATGCATAAAACTTGATTATGAAATAATATAGTCATTCGGTTGTTTTTGTGTGCATCCCTGAAATGAAGCCGTGACGTTAGCACGGGCACTATCCTAGTAGTTTTATAAGCGATGTTGGCTGACGTTGAATCACGTCAACCTTACTACACATGTCAGCAACCCTTGCAATAATTCAGGAGTCAATTAGACTCTATCAAAATAGTTGTAGAAATAAATTTTCATAAAGAATATGCAAATATATTTTTTTCTGAAAATATGCATTTAAAAATACTTAAATATGATTTAATCTAAGAAAATCCATAGAAAATTTGTTTTAACTGAGAAAAAAATGAAATCAGTTTTTTTTCTAAAATCATGCCCTGCATCATACAAGGCTACTAATATTTACAAGCTAAATAAATACCTTCTCAGATTTTACTAATGTTACAACAACAATTACAGCGTGCATAAACATAAAGCAACTCACAAGATCGTCTAAGTTCTAACCAATAAGGGAAAGGGAAAGAAAAAAACTTCTAGGTTTTCACATCTTTTGGTTGACCAAGAAGAGATGGTCGGTAGAGTGAATGGCCTCGTGCCATCTCAATTCTTTCGCGTGGATCATACATTGTCTCATCTCTTATAGCCTGAAGAATCGAATCAGCAGGACGGTCCCTGTGCATATATGTAAACAGACAAACTCAGTCAAATATCAGAAAACCTTTGAAACATAAAGTAAAATAGCTGGCACACAGGCAGGGGCAGAAAGAGCCATGCCAATCAGTATGCAAGGGTTAGTAATATAGGTTACTGAGATAGGTAATCCAATGAAAATGTAACTGGAATAGAGTATGTGGCGTTGGTCTTAGGTCCTAACCTCGTGATCAAAATCCTATGTAGTGCTTTTAGGATCGGGCACATCTCAACCGGCGCAACAGATCTGTTGGCTTCTGGATGCATGACACTTAAGCTATCCTGACTAAGAAGCTCATAAAACGCCTCAACTGCAGAGACACCCTGAAATGAAATGGCAAGAGGATAATTCGTTACATGAATCATTTAGGCATATTCATGCAGTTCTTTGAAGTTTAGATGTCAATCAAAATTAAAAGGGCATACCTGAATGGTCCCTTTTCCTTTAATGCTGTCACCCATTTCTAATGTCAATTCGCCTTTAGCTAACTTCTGCCCATACCATGCATTACGACCTTTCAACAATGTGACATAAGTGTCAGCTAATAAGGGTCCAGCAAGTTTTTCAGGTTCTTCTTCCAGAAGGTGTGTGATGTAGATCATCTCAGATGTGCAAAGTGCAAAGTAAACGGATTTGCTGGTTGCACTCTCGTTGGTTAGTGCAGCTACCATACCTGCAAGATATCAGAATGTTCAGCAAATTAATGAAACCATAGGTTACTTGGGGGTGTCACTGAGCGCCAAGCTATGTGCATAAAATAAAGTTCACTGCACCATGCATTTCTCATCACTTGTTGCCTATTGAATCTTTCTTATAAGTGACATCAGTTAATTAAGATGCTATGACTTACATTTTTTTTAGTTTCCTTAAGGCAACACATTCGTAGGAAGCAGGGTATCAGAAAATTCTACGAAGCAAAGCACTGACTCAAGAACATTAATTCAAGTTGGGAGGAAACAGTAAAAAATGTGGTGGGGTGGCATGTTGGTGTTGTAAGGGTTTCCAGCATGTTCGAGAAAACAGGAAACAGTGAAAAAGACAAATAGAAATTACCAGCACCAATGGCATACACATTTTTTAAGCCACCCATGACTTCATGAGTGATGAGATCACTGTTATCCCACACAATAAAATGAGGCTGCCTCAAAAACTTTGCAAGAGGTTTCCTCCATTTGTCAGCTCCACAAATACGGGCATTTGCATATTCTTTGTTGTAAATTTCAGAAGCAATATTAGGCCCACCAAGATAAAGTATGTTCTCCAATGGAACTCCAGCTGTATTATACCGACAGTCCATAATAAATCATACAAAGTCAAAGAGGGGAAAACAAATATTAGAAGGAAGCATGAAACAAATATATATCTGATTTGATATGGATAAATACGTATGAAACACTACAATGTTTTGTATGCAAAAACAGGAAACTAGAATAGGAGTCAGGCAGCTTCTGGTTAAGCACTGTCAATTGGCTCACAGGATTGCTAAAGCAATAGAAAATTTAAATGGACCTAAATGCAGGATGGTTGGACAAACAATTGGTTTAATCAAATGCCTTTCTCAAATTGTTGAAGAAACTTATCGAGAATATCATGTGAAGTCTAGCCAGAAAATGAATGTAGCTGTTTGTAGATGTCTAGATGATTCTACAGCACTCTGCAGAGGTTATCAGGAACCATTGTTGCAATTAGAACTTTCTACTGGTAGACACCAAATGAAGTCAATTCCATTCACATGTGAGTTGTCTTTGACAACATAACTGAAATACTAGTTCTAATGAAATTTGAAGCGAAGACCTATAATTGCAATTGAATATTGAGGTACCAGACTGAAGAAGCTAAGGGCAGAGCTCCAAATTCGATATAACCGAGGAGAGCCACAAATAAAAACAGAGCCCGGTTTGAATTCAATAAAGAAATAGCACGATTTAATGGTTAGTTAGACGAAAGGTCGAGGAACCTCACTTGCATTGCTAATCATCTGCGTGGGAGTTATGATCCGTGGCAGTGGATCCAGCGAGGCCTCTATTCCCTTGGCGAGGGAGATGATGATGGGGGCAGTGATCCTCTCCTTCCAGTACCTCCCAATCTCCCCGAACACCTCCCTGGTGTCGGTGGACGGCACGCCGTTGACGACAATGTCGGCGTCCCAGACGGCCTCCTGCAGGTTGGTGACGACCTTGAGCGGGCAGAGCGGAGTGTCGATCATGTTGAGGCAGAAGCCGTCCCTGAGTATCTCGTCGGCGTAGAGCGTGCGGTCGCCGAGGCGCGCCTCGACGTACTTGAGGTAGGCGCAGCGGCGGATCAGGCGGCGCAGGACGTCCTCGCGCGCGTTGATGACGTCGAAGAGGTGCTCGGCGGTGGCGCGGTCGACGGCGCGGCCCGGGCGGCGCCAGATGCGGACCTGCGCCTTGTCGCGGAGGTGGCCGTACGCGTCCTGCAGCAGCGCGCAGAAGACGCTGCCCCAGGCGCCCGCCCCGACGCCGACGATCCGGAGCGGGTCGCCGTCCGCCTTCCCCAGCTGCCGCCGCAGCGCGTCCAGCTTCTCCTCCACCACGGCCGCCCCGTTCGCATGGCCGTCCGGCTGGCCCAGCCCCTCCGCCCCGCCCATTGCCTTGACCTCCTCCGCCGCCTCTTCCACTCTCGCCTCTGGCCTCTCGCCGCAAGCAAAGGCAGGCTACATAACCCGCCCGGTCTGACTCGTTCGGCAGAAGAGACGGGGAGGGCTGGATGACGCGACGCAAGCAAAGCTGTAGGGGTAATAACAAACCCGGGGAGAGAAAGGAACGGACGGCTTTTCTTTTAGCAGAAAAAACGAGCTCGGATCGACGCGAATTCGGGTGGGTTTGGCCGCCGAATCGCAGCGAGGTGGCAGAAACAAAGCGTCGGCCGGAGAGCCCGAGGGAGGCGGGGCTTGCTGCCGGCCCGGCCGCCTTTGTCGTGGTTGCCGGTTGGGTTCGTGCGCCGGTACATCCTCGGGCACTCGGCTCGGCCAGATCGGCGCCTGCCCAGTGCCCAGTGCCCACGAGGGACGAGGCAGAGAACAGTGACCTCGGCCGTGCGAAAGCGAGTTGGTTCTACGGCGAGGTACGGGGGCGAGGTGGCACGGGTGGGGGTTGGTGGAGTAGACCGGTTCGATGATTTTGAATTTTTGATTGATGATGGATCATCATTCATCACCAGTTCACCACGGTGGGTGACGGCGGCGGCAGCTGCCCAGCTCGGCGCGGGCGCGTGTGGCGTGTGGCCATCACGTCACAGGAAATTATGGTTCTGCAACAGTTTTTTACGTCATTCTGGTCTGATTTTCTCTCTCGAAGAAATTGAATTGCTATGTCAATCAGCTAATCAAAAACCCACGAAATGTCGTGCGTAAACATCTGTCCAACGAAGGCGAAACTTGCACGAAAACAGGCAGCGGTTCCACACTCAACTGCACCGGAGAGGTACAAGGTTTAGATTGGAAGTTTTTTCACTCTCTTGGTCACATTAAATTTTTGGACACATGCATGGAGTATTAAATGTAAATAAAAAAATAACTAATTACACAGTTTGATTGTAAATTACGAGACGAATCTTTTAGGTAAAAAAGTAACTAATTACATAGTTTGGTTATAAATCATGAGATTTAATCTTTAGTTAGTTAATGATTAAACAATAATTGTCAAATACGAAAACAAAAAAATATTGTAAAAATTTCAAATACTAATTCCGAAAACAGGCAGCGGTTCGATCTAAACAAGGTACAAGTACGATTGTAGTAGAAATTTAGAGGCAATATGCATTAGCTGCATTAAAAATGCAGTACGAACTTGATCCAAACGTGGATTATAATATCGACATGATTGATTTAGTGTACAAGGAAAAACACTGTTCCCTAATCTCGTAGAAATTTACGATCGATTTACGATTTAGCAAACGAACATGCCGATGATCGTCGCTTCAGAGGGGGGGCCCATTAGCTGCATTAAAAATGCAGTACGAAACTTGATCCAAACACTGATATATAATATCGCGACATGATTCGGATAAGGGTCTGTTTAGATTTAAAAAAATTTGCGCAGTACCTATCGCATCGAATTTTACGGCACATGTATGGAGTACTAAATATAAACGAAAAAAAAACTAATTGCACAATTAAGTGAGAAATCGCGAGACGAAACTTTCGAACCTAATTAGTCCATAATTAGACACTAATTATCAAATACAAACAAACATGCTAGAGTACCCAAAACCAAAAATTTTTAGCATCTAAACGCGGCCTTAACTTTTGTACAAGGAGCGGCATACGCCTACTCCCCAATCTCGGTCGTCAAGACAAATTTGGTGAGCCGATTCTACGGCCAAGTTCCAAGAGTGGTTGATACTGATTGTACTTGATGTACTCCTGTTGGGGATTTGACTTCGCCAGAAGACGCGGTCCCATAAACATCAGAGTTAATTACCAGACTGTGTGATAAAGTTTGCTTGCAGGGAACAAAGGCGAAGATGAAATTTCGACTTTGCTCGGAGAAAACTGACTTCGCTCGAAGTAAATAAAAGGCTGGAAGAATTTGGGAGCGAAGACATCTTTTCGACTTCGCTACAGCCCACGAAGTCAGAAGAAACCAGTACAAGAGTTTGCAAAGATGAAGATACAAAGACATGATCAACGATGATGGCTTTGAAGTATCAACAAGGCAAATTGAAGAATGAAGTATAGAATAGTGGAAAAGACAACTTTGCCCCTGTAATTTAAAGGGGTTGTATTACTCTAGAGAGGAATATAATGGTTATTTTATATAAATTACAAAGGATAGGACCTATATAAATACCCCTATGAGTACGATCATAAAATGAATACAACTTTACACTGTGTTCAAATTTGATGTCTGTGTGATTGTTTTACCCAACAACTCCATTGCAACTACTCACAAGAGACACTGGATGTCCCGTTTCAGTAAACCAGAGATTTTCCAATTTCCCAAGTCAGTTAAAGTTTTGTTCACTAAATTATGTAGTTGGTATAGTTTCCTAGATTATTTGATTATCACAAAGAGCACTTGCCGCTTTAAACAAACATGAAGCTAATTCTAAGCTGAGGGTATGCCCGTGAAGCTGAAACGACACAAAACAATATTTTACATAAAGCTATTCACAGGGCATAAGAAAATAAATCTCGAGTTTCAGCTTTATGAGAAAAATGTCTATATGCTAAGTGTTTTGCCTTGCAGCTCCGGCATCGAAGCACGTGGCTTGGAAATGTTGCTCGGCAATGTATAGAGATGGGAGGAACGCCAACAGTTCAAAAGATGATTATTCAGCTGCCTAAATGTGGGAAAACAATCCTTGTTACAAAATACAATATTCATCAACATCAAGCCATCTACTGTGCTGCGAAAACACAGGACCAGTTCTGGCGGTTCCAAACTACTTCACCGTTTCAGCTTCAGCCTCCCTGGAGAACGTCAAAAGACAGTTGAGAAAAATTGCATTTCGACAAACTGAGGTTGTCCATGTCACTTGTATGGTGCAATTATCCTCCTTCGCCGTTTTGGAGTCTCCCGCTTAACATACATCTTCTCCATATCATTTAGTGGACGGCTTGATCCATCAGGCAAGCTCATGAACTTCCAGCCCCCTCCTGCACCACGCTTTCCCTGAGAACCAAGCTTTTCGACCATGTAGCTCCATCCATTGTCTGGCCGGCGCCGGCTGTACTTGTGGCACTTAACCTCCCCTGCCACCTGCAGTCCAACATATGATTTGTCTCATCTTACCATTCAAATTTTAATTATGAAGTCGTATATGCAATCAACAACAGCGAGACAGTTTCAGCTATGGTTTTTTGTGGCCATGACATAGATAAATAATAAGATCCAGGTGTGTAACGTAACACATTCGCACAGAACTATAACAGATCAGATTGCTCATCAGAAACGTAAAGCTGGTCCTATACATGATGGAGATCAAAAGTGTGTACCTTCTTCTTGTTGAATTCCAAGCGCTGAACAAATTCCTCATACAACATTTGATCTTCTTTCACTGAAATTTCATATAGAACCTCATCAGGATCTCGTGTTGTGCCATCCCAGCCCTCTGGCATCACTTTGAAGTCAGGTTTATATGGAAGAGTAGCTACATGAAATTCCCTGTCATGAGAATTGAAGAACCTGCAGGAGAAAAAGAAAAGAAGGTTCAGATGTCGCATACTGTTGACGACAACAACAACAACAACAAAACCTTTAAGTTCCAAACAAGTTGGGGTAGGCTAGAGTTGAAACCCAGCAGAAGCAATCAAGGTTCAGCCACGTGAATAGCTGTTTTCCAAGCACTCCTATCTAAGGCTAAGTCTTTGGGTATATTTCATCCTTTCAAGTCTCCTTTTATTGCCTTTACCAAAGTCAACTTCGGTCTTCCTCTGCCTCTCTTCACGTTACTATCCTGGCTTAGGATTGCACTACGTACCGGTGCCTCTAGAGGTCTCTGTTGGACATGTCCAAACCATTTCAACCGGTGTTGGATAAGCTTTTCTTCCATTGGTGCTATCCCTAATCTATCACGTATATCATCGTTCCGAACTCGATCCCTTCTTGTATGACCGCAAATCCAACGCAACATACGCATTTCCGCGACACTTATCTGTTGAACATGTCGTCTTTTCATAGGCTAACATTATGCACCATACAACATAGTAGGTCTAATCGCCGTCCTATAAAACTTGCCTTTTAGCTTCTGTGGTACCCTTTTGTCACATAGGACACCAGATGCTTGGCGCCACTTCATCCACCCTGCTTTGATTTTATGGCTAACATCTTCATCAATATCCCCATCTCTCTGTAGCATTGATCTAAATATCGAAAGGTATCCTTTCTAGGCACTACTTGACATTCCAAACTAATATCTTCCTCCTCCCGAATAGTAGTGCCGAAGTCACATATCATATACTCAGTTTTAGTTCTACTGAGTCTAAAACCTTTGGACTCCAAAGTCTCCCGCCATAACTCCAGTTTCTGATTCACTCCTATCCGGCTTTCATCAACTAGCACTACATCATCCGCGAAAAGCATACACCAAGGGATGTCCCCTTGTATGTCCCTTGTGACATCATCCATCACTAAGGCAAACAGATAAGGGCTCAAAGCTGACCCTTGATGTAGTCCTATCCTAATCGGGAAGTCATCAGTGTCTCCATCACTTGTTCGAACACTAGTCACAACATTGTTGTACATGTCCTTAATCAGCCCGACGTACTTCGTTGGGACTTTATGTTGCATACTGTTGACATTCAGAAAAATTATTACTTCCTCAGGTCAAAAGATATGTTGTTTAGAACAAGATTTAGTTAAACCATAAAAACAACAAACACCAATAACTTCATTTTTTTTAGTTTGGAGACATGCATGATATATGTGTATATTTGTATGAAAAAACACTTCCAAAATCTCATAAATTTGGAGGATTTTAAGAACACATTCTAGAAGATATTAGCGGTCAAAGATATCCATGGAAGATCGTGCAAAGTCAAACATGTATTTGTACGTATGGCAAACAATACTGTACACATTAAGGGCGCGTGTGGATAGACGCCCTCGCATGCCTGGCCATAAATTGGTCATTGACCGTAGGCTGGATAAGAGTTTGGATCCCAGCCACGTTTCGGCTTGCTCAGCACCGCATGGCCAACGTGTAATTCACTCTGCAGCCGACGCGCGACCCAATTCCTAGGCCGATGATTCGGGCGCCTAAATTTGGCTAGCCAACTGATAATTAGGGCACAGAACGGCAGCAACCAAACGCACCCTAATTGCATATGTTGATATCATTTAGAATAAAAAATACAAGGAAAGATACTCGTGGCACATCAATCACGTGCAATTACCTCTGCACAATCTTAATATTTTAAATGACTACTGTTAGAAAATACAGATTTATCTTCCACAATGATATATTGACTTTCACTTCTCATTAGAGACAACAACAACAACAGCATAGCCTTTCACTTCTCATTAGAGAAATACAAAGAATAAATATATTGGAGAAGTCGATATGACAATGTCTATCAAGCACTAATGACAAAACTTACATGCACATCACATGACAAATGAAACGCTGCAGAAATCCAATACTTCCATTAACAACTCCACAATATGATCAGATATGTACGGTTTGTACAGAGACATTTTAAAAATTAATTTGACAAGATTGAACGCATCAAGTTTTTATATATGCCAAATACCTACCTGAGTGCACCTCATACCCTGAAAAGAATTTGTCAATCACTTCATTTCTTTGACTACACATTTAATCATATATTCAAGACAGAGTGCCAAACTACAGCGTCCATTTTGAAGAAGTTACAGGTTTGTTTTCCTTACCGTTTAGTTCTAAGTTCTAACCTAAGCATTGCAAGTGTGGTTATGGTTTGGAGCAGTTGATAATTCCATCGATGGAAATTTGCATGGTGCAACAACTCAGTGTCCTTACTCTCTTTGCATTTCTAACAAATTGGTGTCGTTAACCGATACCCATGAGTTTATGTATGTTTCTAGCTTATTTAGCACTTTCAGTTGTTCCTACTTAAACAGGCCTAAACTATAAGGAACTGGACTATATATATAAAACAGAAAACCAAATCAAACGAACTATTTGACGTACTCTGGGCAGCTGTCAAGCAGGATTTCGATGGAGTCGTCGAGCGGCTGGCCCCTCTTCCTCTCCTCTTCCTCCTCCATCTCCTTGAGCCAGAGGATGGCGTGCACGCGCTGTCGCATGACGCGGAAGTCCTTGGCGAGCCGCTCCACGGTGTAAGTCGCGGGGTCCTCCTTGTGCAGCCGGTACATCTCCTGCTTCTCCGAGTCCTTGAGGTACGAGCCCCGAGCGCCCGGCTCTCGCACCTGCTTCAGCAGCGCACAGGTCTCCCGCATCCGGTCGTCCCATGAATCCACGAACGCCTTCGCCTCGACATTGCTACGCTCCAGATCCCGGATCATCTCGTCCCACTCGTCCATGGAGCGAACGGCCGCCTGCTCACGGGAGACGGGCGCGGACTGAGAAGGGACCGGGTGGCCGACGGAGGGCGAAGGGACTGGGCGGCCGACGGAGGGCGAGGATCCGTCGAAGTGGTCCTTGGTGAGGCCGGTGGACCAGGTGGAGCCCCATTCGTCCCCATCCCCGCCCCCGCCCTCGCCGCTGCCTCCTCCGGGGAAGGAGGAGGCGCCCCATTCGTCCCCACCTCCGCTGCCCCCGGAAAAGGAGGCCGAAGGGAGGAGGCGGAGGAGGGAGGAGATCCGAGAGGACGCGGCCGCGGCTGCGGCCGGCGGCGCAGGGAGGTGGCCATGGAGGAGGGTTTTGCGGACGACGAACATTTTGGGGTTCCTCTGGCTCGAGTGGGCTGTTGCTCTTCCACGGTTTCAATGGTAGGCGAGTTGCCTGAGCAGAGCGAATCAGGCAGAGGCGCTTGGGAGGCCCAGTTAATTTGGTCCACATCAAAATTACTCTCTTCCCTGAATAAAAATTTCGCCCACTTGGAACTAATTCATGTTTAAACATATAAATTTAGAACCGATATTGATAAATTTTGGTTTTAGTCCTTTCTCCATCTGCGTTCGAACAATTCAAAAAATTTGAATTCCAAAATATGAGAAGTCCAAGCAGAATTTTAGGACCGTAAATGATTTCAAATAAAAAAAAATCATCAACTACAAAGTTGTATATCTCATCGGGATCTAGAACTTTGGTTTTGTTAATTCACCAACCAAGTTCTTTTGAACAGTTAAAAATATTTGAATTTTGAAACATGAGAACTTTAAACATATAAATTATATTTTAAATAAATTTAGATTCATATTCCAAATAAAAAATGTAGTATTTAAAATCTAGAAAAGAGTAGATATATATTTTAATGCATGTAAATATTTATCAATAAGTAAATTTAATATATATAATTTTTTCATAAATATCTAAAAACTAAAATACTTGATTAAGTCAATTTTTAGTCCCTCAACTATTGTCTTTGTCTAACTTTAACACTTCAACTATAAAAATCGTTCAATTTTGACTCTCGATGTGGTTTTGAGATGGCCCTGTGGTCAAAATTTAATAATTATGATAGGCGAGTGTCAAAGTTAGATGGTTTGGGCGAACTGATCCTAGATTAGTTGGTTGGGTTACTTGTGGTGGAACCTATTCATCTAGGTTCAAGTCCTCGATTTGGCTTTCGTGCTCACATTTTCCTGTATATGCTTTTAGTGGTAGGCGACGTCACCGTCGACAGCGAGGAGCCTACGGTGATTTTATGAATATCGAGATTTGCCGACTCAGTCTTTCGGAGATGCTCATAGAGGTGGAATTTGCGTACATGTGTTCATAGAGGTGACTGTGTAATTCTAAAAAAAAAGTTAGGCGATTTAGTTGTTAGAGATTAAAATTAGATAAAGCCAAGAGTTGTGGGGCCAAAGCTGAGCTTTTAATCCCAACAAATAACAAGTCACAGTTTTAGGACACACAGGACTCGCAAAAGAAAAAGTTCTAGGATACACAGGCCACCGTCGTGTCCTATTCATGATCACTGGCAAAGAAAATCTAACAGGCTAGAAATAGGGTTTACTTGGATTTGTGATAATTTGGAAAAGGACAAAATGTTACTTGAACATTAGTGCATTAATCTAAAGTTCCCGCCACACCGTATAGGTTAACATTTGTCGAAGATATTTTATTAGCCAACTTGCTCGAATGCTGGCTGGCTGAACCTGTTCGTTCGTTGGTTTCAGCCAGACCAAATCAGTCGATTAATAGTGTTTTTCTCTCACAACAAACCAGCACCAGCCCAGAAACCATCCAGCGAACAGACCAGCCGAACGAAATGAATAGGGAGAGAATAGTGCTGCGAACTAGGATGCGCTCACTTTCTATCCTCTCCGCCGCACCCGATCCGATAGTGTCACTCTCCTAGGGCATGTTTAGTTCTCCTTAATTTCAAACTTTGGCACTATATAAAAAAAAGATTTTTCATCACATTAAACTTACGGTACATGTATGGAGTACTAAGTATTGACGAAATCAAAAACTAATTGCACAGTTTTGTTGTACTTTGCGTGATGAACGTTTTGAGCCTAATTAGTCAATGATGGGACAATTATTACCAAATAAAAACAAAACGACACTGTACCTACAGTGTCGCTGCAGTGTTCAGGCGGCGCAGAGTCGGGCGAACTAAATGCGGCCCAGGAGAGTGACACTATCGGATCGGGTGCGGCGGAGAGGATAGAAAGTGAGCGCATCCTAGTTCGCATAGTCTCGCCGCTCGCCTCACTTTGGTTCCGTCTCCTCTCGCCTCACTTTTTGCATAGTCTCGCCGCTCCCTTGCTCTCTGTTCCTGAGGTTATCTCCTCCCACCGAGATTCCGGAAAGAAAAGGAAAAAAGTGAGCCAACGCCAAGAATAAAAGATTGGCCGGGAGGCGAGAGGAGACGGAACCAAAAGCGAAACAGGCAAGAGGACGCTTCCTTGCAAGGAGCAGCTTGTCTCTGGAGCCTGGAGGTCGTTCGCTCGGTTCCGCTGCTTCCTTCATCAAGATGAGATTTTGATGCGGTTCGTCAGACTGGGTATTCTTCGAACAAGTTCATTCTTTAGGGTTTAATCTGTTATATCAGATAATAATGATCCGGGTGCTGATCACTTATGCAGGAGGTTTTTTTCCTGGTTGGGATATTGTGAGGGTTCTATTTAGTGCCTAGAGTTGTCCATATGTTCATGCTCCTGGCCACCATGGATATTTGGTACTTGCATGTTCTCTTGACTATTCAATCATTAACCAGTACTCTAGGGGTTACTTCAATTTTTCAGCTACCGAAAAAAGCTCAAATTTCTTTCGATTTTGTTGGAACTTAGTCTTGAGTTGTTGAAGTGCTTTGGCACCTCTGTTCGACTTGCCCAGTTAACCATAGACGAAGAATTTTACTGGCACCTTTTGTCACAAATGGACGACGGAGTAGACCTTCCAAGCCACCTTCTGTTACCACACCCTGACATCTCTCATGGATTCGACGATTTCCTGAAGAGTACAGATGCATGTACTCACACACACACTTGCAATCCGCCGGGTCCATCGGTCGCTATACATAGCCACACGTGCCTCCACACGCACAGGCAGGTCATAGCCTCTAGCGAAGAGCTGAGGACGCCTCGAAAACCTCTCGGAAACAGAGAGGCTGTGCGCAAGTACAGGGAGAAGAAGAAAGCGCATGCGGCCTTCCTAGAGGAGGAGGTCAAGAAGCTGCGCGCCACCAACCAGCAGCTGCTGAGGAGACTGCAGAGGCATGCGGCACTTGAGGGAGTTGAGGCTGAGGTGGCGAGGTTAAGAGGCCTCTTGTTTGATGTCCAAGGCAAGATCGATGCAGAGATCGGTGCCTTCCCGTTCCAAAAGCACCGGAGCTTTGGTTCTGTTATTTGCACAGATCCTACTCTTTGCTTTATTAATGATGATGCAGAGGTTGCAGTTGCAGCCCGGGAAGAGAGCTCCGGACCAACAAATTTTGATTTTGAGATCGATGAAAGTGGCAGTATTTCACGTGAATTAGATATCCCCGAAGTGGTTAGTTCCATGGATGCTGCTGCAAGCTTGGTGAACTCAGCCTCACTGGCTGAATGACTTTGGCCAAGCTGCTTTAGACCATTTTCAGATACATCCCAGCTTGGTTTGCTTGCTGCTGTTACCTTGTTGGTATAATTTTGTTACTTATACCCAAGTTTTGAATAATTAGTTGCTGTGGGTAGGTTTGTGAAGTTGATATACCCTGTCTAGACGCCTACTGGTTGTAAAGTTCTAATTCTACTTTGTAACTGCTCAGTGTGTACTGTGCTTATCTGATACTAGTATATGGAGGAAGTTCTATTCTGTGTTCTGCAGAATTGCAGTGCTAATGCAGTATTGGCCCAAAATGTTTCCTGATCTGAGACACTTGGTATGTATGCAGCTATTGTCTTACTGACAGCAGCACTTCATTGTTAGAATAGTATCTGACTTGCTGCAAGGAGATGGCAATGAGCATTTCAGCATCGTCTTTCAAAATGTATTTGCTTCGAAATTTTGTTGTTCAGACATAGTTCCATATAGGTGGGCGTTGCTGCTACCATAGTTTGCTTAAATAAAGCACAATGCACCACTGTTTGTCAAAGTGTTTGCTGTGTCTATAAATTTAAGTGATTTCGGAGCCGTTAGAGCATCTTCGAGAGTTTCCAAAAAATTTCCCGAAACTTTGAGTTTCTCAAGCCACTAAAAAATATTGGGAGAAAAAAAGAAGAGTTTCTCCGACAGTTTCAAAAAAATCACTCCCAAAACATCGAAAACTTGGTCCCACACAAAATTACTGCAACGTCAGCTGCATCCAGGACTGCATCAAACGGCCAGCCGCCACCGTCGTCGTCGACCAGATTGCCTCGGGAGCAGCATCGCGCATGGCGCATGGAGCTCGTTGGCAGCAGCATCGCGCACGGCGCATGGAGCTCGTTGGGAGCAGCATCTTGCAAGGCCGGGCGTGCGCAAGACGTTCGTGGACTGCTGCGCTGTGCCTGCGCGCAGCATCCTGCGCAGCTACGGCGTGCGCCTGGACGAGCGCGACGTCTCCGAGCACATCGTCTTCAAGGCCGAGATGCGGAGCTCCTTGGCCCGGGTTCGCAGGCGCCGCGCTCCTACGCGTGTTCGTCGACGGCCAGCACCACGCGCGTGCGTGCTCGTGGCGGAAGGCATGCTGCTCGGTGCCGGCGGCAGCGGTCACGAGCTCGAGCAAGAAAATTGCCGCAGAAACTGTCGCGAGGAGATTTCCCAAATCGTGAGAGCGCGCGTATTTTTACGCGCAATCGGCGGTTTTTTTTCTAAGTGCTAAAACATTGGAGCGTAGGATTAGGAGTCGTTAGATATGCATTTTTTCAATCTTTTCAAAAATCTTAGATTGTGAGTTTTTCTTTTGGGAACTCTTGAGATACTCTTACACTTCTATCTAGCTTTTCTTATCTCAGTCTCACTGTTCTGTTAATATTCGGTACATTCTGAAACATAATTGTGGATGACACTTTCGGCTGGTTGAGAAACTAACCGGATTTGTGCGTTGATGAAAACATTGTTCATTCTCTCGACAGATCCTCTAAATTTCTCCCGACGAACAGGCCCAAAACATGTAATTGTGGATGGCACTTGTTTGTCTTATCTTTGCATAATGGAAGCATACGTAACCCTTTATTTTCATTCTTGTGCTGACTGTAAGCAGATGGTCCTCGCAAGTCAAATACCACATGGTGCACCGTGTATCTTTCGTCGACTAATCATATAATGCATAGCATCAACAATACTTTGTAGCGTATTCACTTACACATATCATGCAACTTTTCCCTAGATATTCTTTCAGGAGCACCCTTTTCAGGGGTGTTTGGATTTAGTCCCTGTCATATCGGACACTTAGATGTTAACTAGAAGGACTAAATATGAGTTAATTATAAAATTAATTGCACAGATGGAGACTAATTGGCGAGACGAATTTATTAAGTCTAATTAATTCATCATTAGCACATGTTTACTGGAACACCACATTATCAAATCAGGGACTAAGTAGTGTCGGGTACCTTAGAACGGGGTACCCCAAGCAAACATCAAAATAAAGCTAGAAGGTAAGCCGTGGGCCCCTCACCTGCCACGACCGAGCCCTCCTCCACCTCGCCGAGAGCCTCGGCGAGGAGGTCTCGGAACAAACTCCGCCTCGCGAGGCTCCCAGTGGTAGGCCTCGGCAGGGGGCGCCGAGCCTCGGCGGCAGGGGCCGCTCCGTCTCCGTCTCGCCCCAAGGCTCTCTAGGGAAGGCCTCGGCAGGGTACATTCTCCGTGATCGCTTGAGGCGTCTCGCAAGGCCTCGGCAAGGAACCCGATCTCCGTCTCGCGCTAGGCCTCATTCTCCGTGTCGCTCGAGGCGGCTCGTCCATGATCCGTTGCCCCGCCTCGGCCGACCCTCCCGACAACTCGTCATGTCTCATTAATGCTTCAACCACTCCCGCAATCTCGGTAGGACGGTGGCTCAACGCCACAGATGGCCGACGCGACCGAGGTCGCATCAGTACGCCATACCGGCCGGGATGAGCACGACGGGATTACCGGCCATCGTGTCCTACCACTTGTGTCCACGATCGGCGCGCCATACCGACCGGGACGAGGCACGACGGGGATTACCGCCATCGTGTCCTACCATGTGTGTCCACGATCGATCGCCATATACCGTTTGGGGACAGGTACGACGGGATTACCGACCATCGTGTTCAAACGCTGCATACCCATGATCGGCCGCCCGCTCAAGGCCTCGCATCTGCATACCGGGGCCTCGGCGATCTTGGGGTTCGTGCTCGCCGAGACACCCCCCACCGCAGATGCGCCCTCGGCACCGACCAAGTCTCGGCCTCGCACACAGTCCGGCCCACGATGGCTTGCACGTTCGCCCGCCAGGCCCACTCCGAGGCATTCTCGGGGCTCCCACGACGCACAGGATCTCGATGGGGGACCACGCCGCCGCCCAAGACTCCAAGGATGGACCACTCCGACGACCACGCCACCACAAGGACAGGCCACAGGGCTCGGACGTGCCACCCCTATTGGCACGACGCCGCATAGTAATACATGTACGGTCCTTGTCCTCCCTTCAACTATAAAAGGAGAGGACTTAGGCCACTTAGGGGGGGCCGGAAAAAAACCTGGTAACACACACACACACATACACACACATCCCTGCCGCCTGAGAGCAACGTCTCAAGCGGCCCGCACGACACCCTGCCAAGACCTGGGACCAGCTCCCTCTCTCCTTTAGCTTGTAACCCCCTACTACGAGCACCTCGGTGCAAGGAATACAAGATCGATCTCTCAGACTGGACGTAGGGCCTCGATTGCCCGAACCAGTATAAACCTTGTGTCTCTTTGCATCACCATCCGGAATCAGGAGCACGCAGAACAAATTCACTAGTCGGTTGAGGACCCCCCGGTCCGAAACACCGACAGTTGGCGCGCCAGGTAGGGGGCGCGGATGATGACCTGCTCATCATCCGTAACCTCCCCTTGCTCTTGTCAGACTCGGCGCGAGCCTGGCTCGAGCACCTCCCTCCCTCACAAATCCACGACTGGCGCGACTTGGTTAGGGTCTTCGTCGGGAATTTCCAGGGCACATACGTACGTCCCGGAAACTCCTGGGACCTTAAGAGTTGCCGCCAGAAATCAGGTGAGTCTCTCCGAGATTTCATCCGGCGCTTCTCCAAGCAATGCACAGAGTTGCCCAGCGTCGGTGACTCGGAGATCGTCCAGGCTTTCCTCTCCGGCACCACCTGCCGAGACCTGGTGCGGGAGCTAGGTCGGAACGTGCCACGCACCGCTGCTGCGCTCCTCGACATCGCCACCAACCGCCTCGGGCGAGGAGGCCATTGGTGCCATCTTCCCGACAATGACGCCAAGGGAAAGCGGAGAGACGAGGCCCCGATGCCTCGGCCTCCCACCTCCCTAAGAGAAGAAAAAGGCGCCTAGGGAAGCAGGAGGCCATGGAGGTCGATCTGGTCGGGGCCAGAGAACGTAAGAATCCCGAGGCCCCAAAGGCCCTAGGCCTTTCGACGACATGCTCAAGAAACCATGCCCTTATCACCAAGCCCGGTCGAGCATGCCCTCGAGGATTGCTCCATGTTGCCACGTTACTCACGCCAGGCTCGGGCCCCGACGACGACACGCCAAGGTATGGGCGCCGGTGACCGGACGAGGACAAGGGCGACGGGTTCCCGAGGTACATAACACCTTCATGATCTTGGCGGGCCCTCGGCATGCCTTACGACGCGGCAGCCAAGAAGAGGGAACGCCGAGAAGTCTTCTCGGTCAAGGTAGCCACCCCCAAGTACCTTGATCGGGTCTCGAGAGGTGATCACCTTCGATCGAGATGACCACCCGACCATGTTCGAATCCGGCAAGACCCATCGGTTGTCGACCCGATCATCGGCAACACCCGACTCTCCAAGGTGTTGATGGACGGAGGCGTGGCCTCAACATCCTCACGCCAACACCCCGAACTCTTGGAGATCGACCGGCCGAGGCTCCGAGGCGATGTCGCGCACCTTCCACAAGATCGTGCGTGGAAGCGTGACGTGACCCCTCGGGCGCATCGACCTTCCCGCCCCCTTTGGCACCCCCTCCAACTACCGCAGAAGGAAGTCCTCACCTTTGAGGTAGTCGGGTTGGGAGCCTACCACGCCATCCTAGGGCGGCCGTATACGCCAAGTTCATGGCGGGTCCCCAACTATACCTACCTCAAGCTCAAGATGCCAGCCCTAGCGGTGTCATCACAATTGAGTCCACGACGAACATGCATACGATTGCGACGTCGAATGCATCGAGTATGCCGAGGCTCTTGCAGAGGCCGAGACCCTCATCGCCCACCTCGACCAACTCGGGCGAGGTGCACGACTCAAGCGTCGCGCTGCAGGCGTTCGAGCTCATTGAAACCATCAAACTCATCCCGGTCGACCCCTTTTGCCCGACGAATCGAAGCCGAGGATCGGCGCCACCCTCGACATCAAATAGGAAGCCGTGCTCGTCGACTTTCTCCGTGCGAACGCCGACATATTCGCATGGAGTCCCTCAGACAT